CCACTGGTCAATTTCCATTTCGGTATCTGGGTATCCCTATTCATTATAGGAGATTAAGAAATGCTGATTGGAAGGAGGTTGTAGAATGCTTTGAAAAGCGTCTAAGCAGTTGGAAAGGAAAACTCCTATCTACCGGAGGACGGCTAACATTGATTAATTCGGTGCTAAGTAGCCTCCCGTTGTATATGATGTCCTTCTTTGCCATACCAATAGGGATACTTACAAAGCTTGACTACTTTCGCTCCAGGTTTTACTGGCAAAGTGATGGTCAAAAAAAAGTATCGTCTTGCTAAATGGAACATACTGTGTCGCCCCAAGGAACAAGGGGGATTAGGAATTCATGATTTAGAAATTAAGAATATGGCTCTACTTAGTAAGTGGTTATTCAAGTTGCTCTCCACGGAAGGGGTTTGGCAACAATTGATGTGTAATAAGTATCTTGGTGATAAACCTCTTTCTCAAGCTCAATAGAAGGCATCACACTTTTGGTCTAGCCTCATGAAGGTGAAACGGGACTTTCTCCGTTTTGGATCCTTTATAATTAAAGATGGCTCCCAAATTAGGTTTTGGGAAGACAAATGGTTGGGCAATTCAACCTTGAAAGAACAGTATCCTTACCTTTACAACATAGTTAGGCATAAGCACGCTACAGTTGCACAAGTCTTCGAAAACAATCCTCCATCTTTTTCATGGCGAAGAGACCTGATAGGATCAAAACTAGCGGCGTGGAATAATTTATTACCGCGCATCACTGGTTTTCATTTAACTCAGGAGCAAGATGAGTTTCATTGGAACTTAACCTCAAATGGGGAGTTCTCGGTAAAGTCTCATTATCTAGCTCTAATTCACAGCAATGTTCCCAACATTAATAACTGTCTTTGGAAATTAAAAATACCCCTAAAAGTTAAGATTTTTCTTTGGTACTTGCGTCGTGGAATGGTGTTAACGAAGGACAATTTGATAAAAAGAAAATGGCAAGGCAATAAGAACTGTTGTTTTTGTTGCAATGACGAGACAATTAGACATCTTTTCTTCGAATGCCGTTTTGCCCTTTCTGTTTGGTCCATCATCCAAGCAGCATCTGGACTTCCTCCACCACATTGTGTAGCGCATATGTTTGGGAGCTGGCTTGATGGAATTCATAATAATTTGAAATCACATGTTCTGTTAGGAGCAGCTGCTACTTGTTGGTCGCTTTGGCTATGCAGGAATAATGTGGTTTTTGATAAAAAAAAGTCATATCTTCACCTTTGCAGGTTATATATTCTCTTATCCATTGGCTTCGTACATGGGCTATCCTACAGAAGCCTGGTTCGCAGGATATGGTAGTTGCGGCATGTCAACATTTGGAGAAGGTGGTCAAGGAGTTTTTTACCCAGGGATATGGGTGGCGAACTAGTTTTAGAATTGGTGGTCCTTAAAACTCTGTGCTTTTGGAGGACATAGTCAAAGAGTTGTTCATGAGTGGCAATTTAGTCGTTAGATTGATGGTCCTCAATACTCCATGTCATTCATTTTTCCTTTCGAGCGTGGTTTTGTTTGTTCGGCTGTGTGCATCTTAGTTATACAGAGGCCGAAAGTGTTCTCAGGATAATTGTATCACCTTGATGTAATTGACTGAGTTCAATAAAAGCTTCCATTATTTAAAAATATACACACAATTTTTCAGTCACATCATCTCCAATTTCAACTAAAATCCAAACTTTGCGCTGAAATAAACACAACCATTGATCCATTTGTATAGCAGGAACTGGTTAAATGCATCAATATGGATCAATATCTTCTTATCTAAGCCGACCATTATCCTTTTTCTTTCAGGGGAAACCGTCGGGCCATTCTGGCCCTATGCGTTTCAGACGCTAGACCTACTGACAAAATGACAATTAAGCTATGCAGGTTGGATACATACGAGGAAGTAATTAAAATTCAAGCAAAATCAGTGGATCAGTATTGTAATCTAAATTGTATTAAAAAAAGAAAAGGATAAGTCCACTTGGTCCCTCAACTATATACAGACTCGTTGAATAGTACGGTAAAATACGTAGTGAAAACATAGGTAGTGGAAACCTGTAAACTACCGTTAATTCAAAAAATGGACGTCTGAGATTCATCCATGCACTGGTGGAGAAACCATCTTTGATCGGTCGACCCAAATCTATAATAGTCCCGGTTCCATTAAAAACCGGGACTAAAAACGATTTTTAGTCGCGGTTTATAAGAACAAACAGGACTAGATGATTTTTAGTCCCGGTTGGTTCCATATCAGACCGTGTCAGGTGTCTAGGATCTTTAGTCCCGGTTTGTAAAACCAACCAGGACTAAAGATCTAACTTTAGTCCCGGTTGGTGTTACTAATCGGGAATAAAAATTAACACGTACTATATAATCCCTATTACTTATCATCTTCTCTCGTCCACACAACAAACTCTATCTCTTTCTTTCTTTCTTCCTCTCTAACTCCTGCCTTATCTCTTTCTTCCTTCCTCTCTTTTTTTGATCGAGCGAGATCGAGGGCCGGGCGGGCGGCGGGCGGCGGGCAGTGCGGCCGACGTGGCGGCGCCTGCGCGGCGGCAGCGCGGCGGGTCAGCGGCACGGCGGGCCGCGTGGCGCGGTGGCGCGGAGGGCCGCGCAGCGGCGGCCTGCGCGGCAGCGGGCGGCGGCGCGCAGGGCAGCGCGGCAGCGCGGCAGCGGGCAGCGCCGCGCGGCGGTGGCTGGCTGGCGCGGAGAGGAGGCGGCAGCGGCCGGTCGAGTGGCGCCTCTGTGGTTTTATTTTTTTAGAATTTGTGATTTATTGCATGATTCTGTGATGTATTTGATTTGTGTGCGATGTAAACTTGTGATGTATTTGCGATGAAATTTGTAGAACTTGTGATGTAATTTGATTTGTGTAATTTTTTTTTAGGATTTGCGATGTATTTGATTTATGTGTATAAGTAACTTAAATATTTGTGATGTGGATTTGGGATGTTACTTTGATTTGAGATTTGGGGATATGCATTCCACTTGATTTGGGAGAAAATAAAAAAGAAAAAAAAGGAAAGAGGACCATCTGTACTGCTGTTATTCCCTCTTTAGTCCCGGTTGGTAACTCCAACCGGGACTAAAGATCGATCTTTAGTCCCGGTTATTTCACCCGGGACTAAAGATAGCGATCTTTAGTCCCGGATTCGTAGTTCCGGTTAGACAACTGGGACTAAAAAGCACTTCTCCACCAGCGATGTTACCATGCTCATGGTGACATGGACAATTTTCAGACATCTATTTTTGACCCAACGATAGTTTTCAGTTTTCCACTGCATGTGTAGTTTCCACCATATATTTTTCTGAATAGTACCGTTAAATGATTATTCGTTGAACTCGTACGTTCACATCTCATCTATTTGGACTTAAACATGGGCAGTTTAATTATAAAGAAAAATAATCATTTTACCCCCGCGAACAATTTCACTGGAGCACTTAACATCTAAACTTTTTTTTCTTATTTTACGCTTCAAACTATTGAAAACAGTTCACTTCACTATGTAAACAGTTGAAAAATATTTTTAAATTTTGATAATGATGATAATTTTAGCTTAGAATACAACTTGTATAAAGCTAGGATAAAAAATATTATAAAAAAGTAAAATGAACCATTTCCAATAGTTTAGAGGTAAAATGAGTCAAAAAAATAATCAAGGGTTTAAGTGATCTATTAATTAAATTAGTTCTGGAAAGTAAAATGGATTTTTTTTTTCAATTTTAAATGACATGCATTACGCCATGTGGTCCTAGAGCATTTCCCGGAATGCCCTAATTAAACATATTACCTAAAGCTAAATTTTGAAAATTAAGTTAGAAAACATGTACAGGGCATGCCTAATCCCGGCCGGTACCCTCGTGAGCCAGATTTTGGGCATCTCGCGGAGCTCCCAATCCCCGCATTTGTGTGCACTGTACGAGAAAAACGACATCGATTGAAGAGATTGGCTAGAAATTAACAATTGAAGGACGACCCAACTATGATCCCGTGGCACATTTCAGGGTTTGTTCGGTTAACATGATTTCCGAATCACATGAGCCAAAAAAAACACAAGAATAATATAGGAATACATGTACTGAAGGTTATGGGCATTCAATTGCGCAGTAGGAACAACTCATGATACCGAGCGTTGATAAGGGTGCGCAACACCAGTACTAATTGGAAGACGAGCCGTGGTGGACAAACAACAAGCACTTGCGCAAAACGCTTCCAAAAACTTTGTTGACATCTTCTCCCAGTACAGGACGCCGAATGCGAATGTTCTGGAGATCTGCTCTCCCGATCACCGGTGCACGCCGACGAACAGAACGGAATAGACTACAAGACGACGCAGTACAAAGGAGGAGGCAAACCCTATATTAATTTCATGTGTGTTGCGATCGAGGAGGTAGCTCGGTTTATATAGAGATAACAGGTCGAGTGATTAGGACGAATTACTTACCTGAAACAAAATCGGATTTTGTAGCAAAACAATGCTACAAAAGAAAGCCATGCCTGCGCAAGCATGAGGAGCCCATTTTTGTGAACTATTCACGCGCATGCCGTATACACGCGCCGCCTGGCTTAGCCAGTCGAGACGAGCAAGCGTACTCGTGTGTTTTTCTAGTTCTCTTCACCTCACATTGACTCAAGTGAGGAGAAGAATACTCTTCATTTTAAGGTCTTACTACTCTTCTTGAATAAGCAAGGCTTCTAGTCGTACCAAAGGTTTGAAAATCAAATCTACTTGAAGCTCTCAACTTTTGGTTTCAGTGGATCGGTACAGTGGTGCTACAAGCCTACAACACATCTCAAATAGAGAAGTAAGGGCATGTTTGGTAGACCTCTAACTCGTAAATTTAGCTCTACGAGGAGTTGAGTTCAGAGTGGAGTTGTAAAGCAACCTTCAGAGTGGAGTTGTAGAGCAACCTAAACCCGGCTCCACCCAGATCCGCTCCTGTTTAGTCGGACGACTTAGCTCTAGAAGTGATAGAGCTGGAGCTGTCTCAAACAGATCTTAAGTATACCATGCATAATGAAAGACTTCATGTGTGCCTTACAAATTTTGTATTTTGTACTAGCTTAATTCACCAAGCACGCATGTCTGAATTATTAATCAGCATAGTAAACCCAAGCACGGAGATATACATGCGTCAAGCATTGGTCGATGGATCAGCGTTTGTGGATGTACGGCTTGGGCCACAGCAGCAGTAGATGTGGCCGTCGTCCATGACCTCGCAGCCGGCGCCGGGGCTGAAACCCAAGTAGATACACCTCGCCGGGCACCACTCCGGCGTCAGCTTGCAGCCGCCGGCCCTGAAGCACCCGGCATACAGAATACCTTCCGGCTGCATCTGGCCGGAGCCGGAGCCGCCGCCATCGGCTGCCTGCGCAGCCGCGGCGAGGAGATCATCATGCATCAGCAGCGGCGCGGCGACGATGGTGACGACGAAGAAGAGAGCCATATTCGAGCGTCCTGAACGCTGCATCGCCATGATCGTCCGGATTAGTGTTAGCTTTTCTTAGGTAGTGTACAATGATGGGGGCCTTGTTCATTTGCTAGTAGATTGGATATGTGGGAGCTTTGCTAATGGATAGTAGATATATACAAGGAAAAGTAGTCAAATGCAATCTTATAGATAGATGTAGATAGATATATTCACAAGATATGCTATTTCTGTTATTTATTATATGGTGTCCTTAACTTTTTGATAAATGTTTAACCATTTGTTTTATTCAATATTTTTATGGTAAAAAAATTATGTCATGTTTAAAAAAAATGATAAATCAAGTTACAACAAAATAAATAATATTTATATAATTTTATAATAAGAGAAACGATCAAACATAATTTAAAAAATTAACGATCATATACTAAAACACGCAAACAATATATATCAATATATAAAACAAGAAGACAAAGTATACATATTTTTTTCTCGTCTTCTGTTAACATGTTTTTCAAACTACTAAATGATATATTTTATGCTAAAACTTTCTATATAAAAGTTGATTTAGAATATCATATAAATCTATTTTTTAAAGTTTATAATAATTAAAACTTAATTAATTTTATGTTAATGTCTTTCTCATTTTGGGTGTCCGCTTTTAATCTTCATCCTTCCGAGATTCAGACGGGGCCATTCGTCATGTTGTTCTGAATAACTAGGCCCAGGGCACAGGGAGTGACAGACATGGGCCCTCATATCTTGGTTGCGGCCGTCTGGATTGGACGGGAGAAATATGCACTGATGCAGATGTCTGTAATTTGGCCCACCCCAACCTGAGACCGTGATGCTGATCAGCTCGTCCGCTTCTCCTCCTTGACACCCTTGACCATGGATGGGTACTTAGCTGATTGAAAGCCCAGTTATAATACTGCGCGTTCCATCTTGGGAAAAAGTTTAAATAGGAGTCGAGTTTCAATGGCATCTTCTAACCGTAAAACCAAATACTGTGTACACTTAACTTTTAAAACCAGTGTAAATTAAATCGCTCGATAGTTTTGGACGATATATAGTTTAGGCTAACGTGATGTTTACGTAGTGTGTTGACCTAGTCATCATCATCGTCATGTGTGGTGAGTTCTCACCTGGTACTTACAATTAGAAAAAAAAATAGTGGCACCCATATGAGGCCCATCTGGCAAGGGTTGTTTTCTTCGTCCATCCTTTCCATGACTATACTTCTCCCCTCTCACAATGGTGTATGGTGTACTGATGGCGTTGCTGCCTCGTCGAACTCCTGTGTCGTCCCACACCACCACAGCTTCCCAAGGTCCCACCTCATCAGATTGATGTTGTGGCCCAAGCCAAAATTCCGTCCACCTCTATCAGGTTGAGCAGCCAAATTTTTGTGTTCCAGATAGAGAGCACCCACCCGGTCACACACCCACAGCACCGATGTTTGTGCATGTTGGGAGAAATAGGAAGAGGAGAGAAGGGTAGAAAAGAAATATAGAAGGGATGACATGTTTCATCGATATGTGTGACCTAACATAATTTTTATTTTTTTTATGATTGAAGTGACAGATAGCATCATTTCAGTTAAAACCCAACTCAACCCTATATGGCAACATGAAGGATAAGTTATACCTGATTTTATGGTTAAGTAACATAATTAAAAGTCAATAATAAGATGAGGGACACATGCAAAGTGAACTTTTTCCTCCATCTTGCATCATTTGCATTTAGAACTATTTTTAGATAATTGGCATTTGGAACCTGCTCACCTCATCTCGAGAAAAAGAAAGGGAAGAAACATCTCATATTCTCGTCCAATGAAGCCTCTTTCTAATTTAACACCTATCAATTCAAACAAGGTGCTATCTAATTTAACACCTATCGATTTTATTTCACCCTACATCTCACGTTTACTTCTGGTTTTCACCAGCTATAGTAGATAGTGAGACGGCAACAACATCGAACCCCCACCTTCCTGGAAGCTGCCGCTCGCCGTACGAGCTAATCCCCACATGCCCGGATGCAACCCATTGTATCTGGCCGTCATCCCGTCCACGTACGACGCCCGCCCGGAGCTCGACGCCATCGGCCGGCCGCCGGCGAGCATCGCACCAAAGATTCGCACGATCGCGTTTGCGTGGCGACCACGGCCATGGTGGCGCGCGGGCCCCACCACTGACACTAGCCGACGCGGCGACTCGCCGCCGCCGCTGCCGTCGTCGTAATCTTGATTCGATCCCCGCCACGCAAAGGCGCCAGAGACGCACTCGCCGCCGCGTCGCCGCGTAATTTTTTTTTTAAAAAAAAGGCTTCGATTTCCAGGTGGGGCCCACCTCGTTTTGGCCGGTGCGTTCGCGCCATTTTTCTACGCGGAAATCTCTACTATAATACGCTGCCACCGTGGCAGTACATGCGTACACGTACTTGATTAGCTAGTTAATTAATTACACACTTTAGTTATTTATTTATATGCTTTAATTAGTTGGCCTTGGACACCAAGAGATTCTTCCCCTTTCTCAATTCAGCGGAGAGAGAGAGAGAGCACGGATTCCACCCATGGCGAGTGCACTCCGATTCATAGTCGAGTCTCGAGTCACAGCTAGCCCCAGTTGCTGGTGATGGATCAAGATCCATTGTTAATTCCATCAAATGAAAAAGATTCATCGAGTAATTTATTGTAGTCTAATAAATTAAACCATCTTTTTATGCCAACTTGTTGTAAGTCCTACCTGCTTATCCACATCCAGCCACGCACGCACCCCGTTTTATAATCCAAAGGGTGGACATCGAAACCGGAGCGGTTCTCCGCATATGATTTCCGCATATTTAGACTCTCTCGTTTATCGTGAACACGCTGGTTGAACTGATCAACGATATAGTATGTTTTTTTTTAAAAAAAAGTTATATATAGAAGTTTCTTTAAAATTAAAATAAATTCAATTTTCAAATCTATATATAATAATAGTTAATTATTAACTGATCATGCGCTAAATGTGATATCTTGATTTGTGTGTCGCAAAATAAGGTGAGCCAATAATCTGCACATTTGAACAAAGCCTTATGGGGTGTTTGGATATAGGGACTAAACTTTACTCCCTGTTACATCGGATATTTAGATACTAATTTAAAGTATTAAATGTAGACTACTTACAAAACTAATTGCATAAATGAGAGCTAATCTACGAGACAAATTTTTTAGCCTAATTAATCGATAATTAGCACATGTTTACTGTAGCATCACATAGGCTAATCATGGATTAATTAGACTCAATAGATTCGTCTCACGAATTAGTCCAGAGTTATGGAATAGGTTTTATTATTAGTCTATGTTTAATACTTTTAATTAGTGTCAAACATCCGATGTAATAGTGACTAAAACTTTTTAGCCCCATCCAAACCCATAGCTAACCATATGCTACTACTGCGAGCGCCGCCATTGGTCTCCCTTAGCTACAAGGAAGGAAAAAAAAGGGCTTGTTATTGCGTTGAGATTTCTAACCTAATGGTCGTTTTCTTGGAGAAACGTACGTGTTGCGTCTTTAGTTTTATTCGTCCGTGTGATCGGTGCGTTTTGCTGACGCCAATGGTTAATTGTCGCTAGCTTTGCTTAAACGAGTGATATATACATATAGCTATGTGTATAGTATACTATTGTTAATTAAAGCTTCTTGTTGTATGTTTATAGGTTATTTCTTGTAGGCTTCTATTTGTCAACGTAAATAACTTACGCAAGCAAAACATAGGGAGTACCTTATACAGGCCCATCTAGGAACTGATTGACCTGCAGCTCATGCAAATAAAGAAATTAACTTTGATCAATATATAACATAGAGAGTGAATATACTCAAGTTGTTCAAATTATAGTGTTAGCTTTCGATATAAACTGGGGTAGTATCTTTTTCTGTCAGTAAATCATATTTTTCTAACGGTTTTCAAGCCACTTGATGGATCGATAGTGGTAGTGGGGTGCGCGCTATATCCCTTAATTTATCAAAATAAATAGCAAAGAGTGAAAGTCGATGCGATGATTCAGGTTGAAAAATTAACTCCCATGTGTCGTCACATACTTTGGCGAAGAATTTACCCGACACTGGGAAGACAAAATTTGCAAGTTGCAACCTTTTAAATCAAAATCACTCGGTTGAAAAAAACTACCTTTTCTTTACAAAAGGGATGAATTGAAAAAGCCAGCTAACCAGGCGAGGACAACGGATTCCACAACAGCAAGTGGAATATGATTCATGATCAAAACAAAGTCCAGAATTTATTTACATCCAACTTGCTTGCAAACGGCTGCAGGGACTGGGGACCATCAGCATGACAGCATCAAGGTTGAGATTATCATCAACTTTAATTGGTTAATTAACTATATATTAGCCATTGGTTAATTAGGTTCTCCTGCCATGCTAGCTCCATGTATCTCCCCATTAGTTAATTAATCAAAATCAGCAGGCTAGCTAGCTGTTAACATATCATTGGTTTCAGGTTTATCTAGCTAGCAATTAGAAAAGAAAATTAAAAGTAAAAGCTGACCAAATTAGTAGCTCTAGAGCATTCGCGTATGGCCGCGTATTTGAGACAGGCGTACGTCGTTCATCGCAGAAAGTCAAATGTGCTGGGAGTAGATGATATTTGATTAACTAATTAACTTAAAATTAGATCTCAATTGAATCTAATATTAGACAGACAGATCGATCATGAACAGTAGTGTTTGTTTTCAAAGGTAGGGGGATCTCGGATGACAAACAGTTGGTGTACTATCTATCTATCTATTATCTATCTATCTATCTATCTATTATATACTAAAAGTCCATGAAACTTTCTACAAACGCTCTCAAGCCGCCACATGGCCTTCTATAAATGCTCCTAGATCGCCACGTGGCATTCTATAATATCACCGTCGATTTTCTTTTAAATCGATGGACCCATTAATTCTAACCATTAGATCTCCATCTAAAAAATAAATCTGGTGTCCCTACTTTTTAAATTTTTTTTTCCATGTTTGCTCTAACTAATATATAGAAAAACAAAGAGGAGAACACCGTAGACAAGAGGTCTGGATCGGGCAGGGAACGTTAGTATTATTTTTTTTCTTTTTTTTCCGGCGGCATACATACGTACTTCA